GGTATGCCGCGAAATACCTCACCCATTTTGAATGGCTGCATCTGTATATAGACATAATTCTGTTTTATTAACTATTAGGGGGAGTGTCACTTTAGCTTGTTTGTCCCACGGTATAAAAGACCATCTTTAGTTATTTATTTTCAACTTCGGTGGTTGCAAGCCCATATGCATATGAAATGAAGATACTTCTACTACACAGACACCTGACCTTTGTCATTTGTATGACACAACAATTAAAAACAACAAACATTTATTTATTTATTTGGTTTGGTGATAATAAACACAAAATAATTTCATCTGTGAAGAAAGTTAAATGTCTGCAAAATATGTAAATAAAAATTTACTGAATACATACAGTACTACTGTTAGTCACTATTCAGTGAAAAACCTTTGTCAGCAATAACTGCTGTCAATGTTTTTAGATGGGTTTTTACGGGTTTAACTGCTGGGTCCCTGTCTTATGGAAATTTGTTTTAGATCTTTGGCCTGTTTTTTTTTAAGGAATTACCTATACACTCCCTTGATTTACAAACGTATGTCTTGAAAATAAGTAAATTTCAAATAAAGTTTTATGTGTTGAATCTCTTTTTGAGTTTAAAATACAAAATACAAAATCTACAAAATCTAACTGAAGGAACCTACATAGACAGATGCTTTTACCCTAATGTCAAATAAAACTTATACTGTACACACATAATAATTGCTCACGAATAGGTTTAATACATAAATTGTTTTAATAGATGGTATCTTCATAGAAAGCTCTATTAGGCTGTTTAACCAAATGGCTTTAGGCTTTAAGAATACAATGAAACACCAGAAAACCAGCCCACCTACTGTATGTATTGAACATGACTGACAAGCCTTACTACAAGAATATAACATTTCTGCTTAGTATTCCAAATGTTCAGTACTTTTTAATTTGCCTTTCATACATTTTTAATCCAAAGGGCTCACTTGGTAAATGTTAATACTAATTAACTAGCATCAAGATTTTACCCCCAAGGTTAATATGGTTTTTATTGTTAGTGGCATCCAGAAAAAAGGCTGCTTGCTCAGCTGTTTCCAAGATAAATGTAACTTTTTGAACTCTGATAAAGATTATTGTAATAGCTTTAGAACATATGTGAAAATCTGACTTTGAAGACATAACCTCATTAGCCACACTGCAAGATTTATGTGATTGCATTAATAGAAGATAGGGATGACATGTGAATAATGTCTGAAGTCCAGAACAAATATCAACTTAGCTTTAGATCCAATAATTATAGCATGACTAATGAAAAAAAAGGATTTTTAACAGTAGAATTAATGAGACTCAGCCACTGAACAATGCAAGCACTTACATCACCTGTAATGTAGAAGATTTAGGCATCTGTCTACCTATCTTTCTGAACATAAAGAACTGTACCTGGTTCATACTTGCAGATAAAGTTGTGCTTCATATTGCACCTGTCATCATTCCACTGGTAGAGATAGGCTCCTCCCAGGCCATGGTGTGCTGTTGGCTGATGGTACATCACCACACAAGCCTCCCCTCCACAGGATGGCTCATCATAATACCAGTTTCTGGAAGAAAAATATTACATAGTAATAGGCACGGTACTTTTAATAATTTCCATATATTTACATAATTTTATTATAAATGTAATCAATTTTCTTGTAAATGTGTTAATCACAGTTAGCACATGGAAATGGAATAAGATGACAGTACACTGTCACAGTAGATTGAGAGAAAAATGTTGCATAGTTAATTAACAGACTCAGATAAAATCCACAATGTTACAGACCCAGCCATTTCGAATTCACAGGAGATACTGCAGTAGCTTGCAGTTCAGGGGCTGCTGGGTACCACAGTTTTTTTAAAATACTTAGATGTGGGGCTGCACTATTTTGTAAAACCACCAGTTGAGCAGTGAAAGCTTAACGTGGCATGTAGAGCATTTAGGCTGTTGCCAAAAATTGCCTGATTTCTGGGTCAATGCTGAGGGACAATATTTTTCCAATTACAGAATTTAAATAGTATACTGTTTAGACTTTTATTAATTTTAAAGTGTGTATTATAGCATGTTAAATATTGAACTAATTAAGGTATAGGTATATTTTATAAAAGCAAGATTGCTCAGTTGGATTTATAAAAAAGTTTATAATTATACTGTAGCTTGTGATTTTGGTAGCTGAAAATAAAAACAGTAGCATAACATAATACATACAAATGCAACCATTCAAAGTGCACGGTACAAACCAATACAATAACCAAAATGACTGACAGGGGCACTCTAGGTGCATTGGTCGGTAGTGAAAAGATTTAATAATTTAATCTGTTTTAATCCACTTAATATTGAATATTTATATGGAATTTTACAACTAAAGGGAAATTTTAGTAGCTAAGCATAAAAAGAAGAGAAGCATAACGCACCTGAAGGTCATAAACAATATTAATTTAGAATAGCGGCAAGCCTTATTAAAATACAGGAATTAAGTTTGCTGCTCCCTTGCCAATCTCCCTCTCTCATCTCAGTGTTGCTGGATACAGAGAGGCCATTCCATTTAGTTCACATTTAACATGTTTTTCTAGCTGATAGAGTGTCCTGATAAGGAATAACTCCCAGTGCTGAGATTCTCCAGCAACCCTAATCAATGGTCATCTCTGTTGCCTTACTGTCTGGGAGATTCCAAGGGAGAGTCTCATCCCAGGTTGATTACAACTCTAAGGTCAGAGTGCATTGTTACTCATCATCAGCCAATCAGGAACTGGTAGGGTAGGGTAACCCCATGTGGGTCTCGAATGCCCACAAAACTTTCAACCAATGAACGACCGTAGTTCCTCCAGGTAAAACAGGCAGCACAGGGCTCCTCTGTGCCCCTCCAGGACATTCTCAGACTCAGCTTGGACAATCACGTAACGACCAGTGTGTCCGAGTGTCAGGACTTTACTTTGTTCTAAGAGTCGCCAGCACGTAACCAAAGGATCCACCCGAAGGTTAGCCCAGCAGCAATTCTCATGAACCCACCACGATAGCTCACCTGATCAACAAGAGAACTACGGTCGGAACTGTGGACAGCTGAATCTCAGGATTCAGGACTAGCACTACATCAGGAACGAACCAGTCTTCTACCTGTCTAAAGAGTGTGACCTACTTGGACCCGCAGTCACTTTTCTCATGTGCTCAAACTGTTGCTATTTAGCCAGAACTAACTAGCCGTTCTTCAGAAAGCATCAACAGGGCGTCGCAGCAGAAATCTCTCCCTCCTCCCACATCGCACGCCGATCCAGGCCAGAGAGCACGGATTGGACACAGCAACAGCCTGCCACTGTTTCTTTGTGTCTACGGGAGATCACCCAGATTGGATGAGTATTCAACATTCTGCATTACAGCTCAAGAATTCAATTGTTACCTCAACCTTAGTTGATATCAATTTAATTCCTACGAGTGATGTACTTGCTTTTGAGTATCTAGTGTACAAGTTGTAACCAAGTTCATTTACGAAACGGTCTAAATGAATGGTATACTGAATGTATGTCCCTCTTGGTTTGTAACTCTATATGATTGAATATATACCTTTTGTATTCTGCTAACTCTCACCGATAAGATCTGTTATGTTTATATGCACATTTTATGTATTAATAAATGTATTCTTGTGTATTAGTATCCACGTGTGTGCATGCTGAGTTATCCCGCAAGGTTGGTCTTTTAATAGCCATCAAAGAATCATTTTGTGACTTACTGCTACAATTAATAAATGTCCCAGTAAATGCACAAAACCCCTACATTTATTGGTACCTCGTGAGAGGATGCCTACATTAAGAACATAAACATATCATGTAAACTGTACTTTATATGGCTGGTATTGGTAGTTTAAAGAAAAAATACACACCAGTATTCCATTTCTCCCTAAACATTTTAAGCATCAAAGTCTTACATGTGGTTATTTCGGAAACGTTTTTCCGTGCTCCTTCTGACCATAATACTGTACGTTTATATACCTTGTGAGAAAAGTGATAGTTTTAAGCTTTTCTGCGAATACGCTCATTATCGGAGTAAACAATTGTATAATTTTAGAATTTGATTAATAGGAAATATAATATGGAATCACGTATCTAAATAAATTAATAACGATATAATTATATTCATGTACTGTAGCACAAACAGTAGTATAAGACTTTCTATTAATATGTGTACAGCTGTTTCAGTATTTAAAACATTACATCACTGCATCTGTGGCGTGATGGCTTAAGTGACTGACTTATAACCCTGCGGTTGGGTGCTCAAATCCAGCTATTGCCATGAGTTTTCTTTTAACAAATAAACAATTCTAAAAAAACAAATATTATGGACACTCTATTGACATTTTTATATTTCTAAATATCACATGTTCGTACTGTATGTACACAGCTCTAGTGCAGGGTCTAGGGCGCAAACCAACATGACCCCCAAAAGCCCTACATGAACGTAGTGCATTTGCCTGACGCTGCGGGTGAAGAGCGCCTGGCGAGGGGCAGGAAGGGAGTGGTAGTGATCAGGGCGGGGATTAGGAACGCCGCTGAATCACTGCGAAACGGATGTTCAGTCTGGAGAAATCACCTGTTTTTGTGTAAACTGCTCCCTGTTCCCTGCATCAGTCTTCACAGCCAAAATGTTGCATTTTCTCTCTTCTCTTTTCAGCATGGAATATACCTATTACTTGTTCCTTTGCAGACTACACTACTTCTTTGTTAAACATTTGAAACACTTTAATTTTTTAAACTTATCACCCATTCCGTAGAGAAATAAAATCATGTTTTCTACAGTTTTTAAAAAGATTATCAGATTACTGACAAAATAGCAAACTGTCCACCACTGCCCTTTTGTTTATTCCGATGTAGCGGCCAGGCTTATTAAAGTACAGGAATTAAATTTTCTTCTCCCTTGCCAGTCCCTCTCTCCTACATCGAAGAGCCCCTCAGAGCACCTCCTGGACATTCTCAGACTCAGAGACCTCCTGAACATTCCTGACAGACAGAATCCGGAGTGCTCGATTCCCCCGGAGAAAAAGGTTCCGCCTGAGCGAGCGCTCTCCCAGACAGGATCTGTAACTGGGTTATTGTGGGGTAGAGAGCCGATTAAGGTGTATGAGCGTATTCGCAGAAAAGCTTAAAACTATCACTTTTCTCACAAAGAATATAAACGTACAGTAATATGGTCAGAGGAGCACGTAAAAATGTTTCCAAAATAACCACATGTAAGACTTTGACACTTAAAATGTTTAGGGAGAAATGGAATACTGGTATGTATTTTTTTCTTTAAACTACCAATACCAGCAATTTACAGTTTACATAATGTTTATGTTACTAAATTAATATAGTTTATGACCTTCAGATGCGTTATGCTCCTCTTCTTTTTATGCTTAGCTACTAAAATTTCCTTTAGTTGTAAAATTCCATATAAATATTCAATACTGAAGTAAGAGACAAGATGTAAAAAGGGTTAACTTAAGTCAGTTCTGCCTGAAAATTAGACTTCTAAGCAACAGGGGTTTAGGGCAGGAAAGGGGGTTAACTGATAAGGATTCCTGATGCGAGCTAGGAATCCCCTGGGGGCGTAATCTTAAACTGACCATCTGGCCAGGGTCTTTTAACTGGCCAAATATCATTACCCCCTTCCATTACCATAAAACCGAATGACGTCTGAAGCAGCAAGGAAGGACTATATAACCTAAAAGTTTGTACTGGCACATCGAACAATACTTCGGTTTTGTTGTTTCTTGC